CACCACGACAGCACCAGCACCACCACGAGACAACGGTACACGACACCAGCGTTGACCTCGACTGCCGGGCCAGGCCGCGACGGCCTCGTGCCCGAAAGGTAGCGAAGCCGGGCATGCCTAGGGGAGAGGCATCTAGCCCAGCTCCATACCCGGCATACGGGGCATGATTGTCGTTTCAACATTCGTTCATAGAGTGCCTTTCTTGAATTACAGGTAGGTCGATATAGCAGATGCAGCGGGGACTTAACCAGTGCCCGTTGTTGACTATATGAGTTCTACCCTTTTTGCTAATTTTCCACATTTCGGCAAGTAGCTAACCTACCGAAGGCGCAGCGACCAACAAAGATTGACAGTTCTGCTCCAATCGCGCTTGCGGTTTGTTCACCTTGACTGACTGCGCGCTTGTCCGTCCTTGGTCCTAACTATTCGCACCTAGCGCAACGACACCAGCAGACTCACGGACTAGCGCAAAACATGCGTTCCAACGCATCAGCACAGCACTAATACAAAGAAGGCGTCGACACGCGCCTGCAGCGACGAGTGCGACTCCAGACCAGGCTGCAGCGGCCTCGCACCCGCAAGGGAGCGAGCCCTCAACGGCACACCTCGGGGAGGGGCATATCAGCAGCATTCGGAAAACGCGCATGCCGCTTCGCGCCCCGCGCGGGGCCCCATGCGGGCCTACCCCTTGTGGAGGCAAGCGTGGTTTGGCACATTACATGGACAGTCTACGGACATGTTTTTCTTGCCCGATGGATTTGCACTGCTACCTGTCATACTGGTAGAAGGTGCACCAGAAGAAGGGCGAGTTCGGGCGCCACGAGCAGCGCGACACAGATTCTCACGACAGCGCCTAACCGCGCCACCCATGCCCAGCGCATGACGTGGCCGCGGCCACCTACTGGCACGAGCGAATGCCCCCCCGCGGCACATCGCGCACATCGGTTCTTCGAGCATTTGTCTGCCGCGAATCAGGATCGTCAATGGGGTCGTCATCTCAATAACTCGCCTCGCGCTTTTCGCAGTGCATCAGGCCTTGCAGCGAAGCAGCCCACGCGCATGTCGCACCTTTGCCGCTGCGCTCCCGCTCGCGATGTTCAGCCTCGCGCCGCGACCACCGTCGCCACGCGAAGTGACCTTCGCGCCCTACAGCCAGACGCGCGAAGATGCGTTCGCTGTCCACGTCGACGAGTGGGCATGCTCACCGCGCTTCGCCTGGGTACCATCACTAGAGGTGTAAATGACGTTCTCTGGGAAAAGCAGCGGCCAACCTACGCGCGAGCGCAATCACATCCTCGAGACGCACCACCAGTCTTCAGCCAGCAACTACGAAGACGACGGGAGCGATGCGCGGCCACCGCTGCGTACTAACAAGCGGCGCGCGCCGACCTCCAGGCCGCTACAGCGCACAGCTATACCAAGCCAGCAGTGCGACTCAGCAGCTGCGACCGCGCCCAGAACGCAAGTCCCGAAAAAACAAGCAACGCGAAGTCACCAACGCCAGCCTTGACAGGATGCTAGTCTAGGTGTCATTACACCTGGGGCACGAGTACATACCAGTGCCCACGCAAAGTGGCTGGGCCCACAGAGATCAACAGCGCCGCGCCGCGACTGCATATTCCCCTGATATCAAAACGACTTCCAGATGCCCAGCCAAATAATCAAAGAGGACCTCACCAGGTGGACGAGGATGGGCCAGCACGATATCATGTGCAGTCATTGGCCGCGATGGTCCCCAGCGCCGCGCCACCGCCGCCATCTCCGGGCTACTCCAGCTGCCCAACCAGCAGACATACTCACGACCAACCAGCACCCAGACCGCACGTCGACTCCAATGGGCCGTCGAAAGCGCAATGCGCCCACCGCCGTCGCAGCTCAAGATCCCAGTGGCATACCCACCACCTAAAGCAACAACTGCACATAGGCGGCTTCTGGACGAGACGCCGGCGACCATACATGCTTACTTCCGCCCAAAGGCTCCACTGGTCAAGCTCGACGGCCAAACTGGCTCCACGCCAGCACCTGCGCGCGCTGGGTGGCGCGACGCGCAGTTCGTGGACGACGCCAGCGACCCGCGGTTACTCAACTGCAAGGACACAACCAGTGACCACCAACAACGCGACCAGCAATGCCCAGCAGAAGCTGTCATATGAAACTCACGACGCCAGGAGGCCCAACACAGCGACCATATCATCACGGCGCTCAAAGCTCCACCAATGCCCACACCCAAATGGCCGACGGCAGAGCACAAGGTGCCGCCTACACCGAAGCCAAGGTTCCTGACGCACACAGAAGAACCATACTTGGGATTGGTGACTTCTTGCACGTTCATATTTTACATGGGCATCAACTACTGACTTACCTCCCTCGACTCACGAGTGTTCCATGATGTGTCCCTATTCGGCACGGTATACACCTTGGTCTTCTACTTCATCTTCTCGCCTGCCCACGCCGGCGCCATCCTATCATTATTCGTTTTCGCCAGTCTAGGGACGCAAGGGCTCGTGCTAAACCAGAGAAAGATGGCAACAGGCATGAGGGTCCCATCGCCAAGGAGGTTACGGGTGAGCCGATAAAACCCTGGGTAGCAGCTCCAGAATTGCGACAAGTCCCCAACGTACCAACCCGATTATGTTATATGTTATTGTAGCCGTGTCAGGCCAGCCAGCAAGACCTGTTCCAGCCTCAGTTGCCGATCTTTTTTTCTACGTTTTTAGACGCAGCGCCTCACCTATTGGACTTGGGAGTCTTTCACCCTGGGCCCTGGGCAACGGGGGTGGATATGCTGGGTTTGGAGACGAGGGGCGAGATGAAGCTGGAGGGCTCCCCTATTTCTGGGTGGAGCATCGCGCAGCAATTCCTGCGCAACGCGCGCTTCAACAACAACTACAGGCCAGCCATTCGTCTTGTGAAGCCAACTTGTGGAGGGCGGGTTTTCGATGGGGGAGGGGTGGGATTATTGGATAGGAATACTGTCGATTACGCCCTCGTTTCTCCCTGCAGCTGCTGCCAGTGCCATCGCGCGCATCTCGCCTAGTTTTAGCAGCATCCGTTTACTATGCGAGACAGCTTGGCTCCAGGCCGAAAGCCAGCCGGCGCCGCCCCCGCCGGCCTCGCACGCAACCAACTACCATCTAGATTGCAGTAGGCACATGGCGCATTTGGATGCTGTTACTGTGTCACATTTTTACGCTTGTCAGCACGTTTTACCAGGCAGTATCTGATTTCGCTGTTTTTGTTGAAAAGTCGATGCTTTGCTCAGTTACTCTTTAACATTATTCGGCGCGTGCTTCACCTGGCAATCGCTGACTTTGTTTTCGAGTCGTAGCTCGCCACCCGAGGTGGAGGATGGCGGGCTCGGGTGGGTGGGTTAGTATTCGGGGAGGCGTGGGCGCAACGCGCCTCTTTCGGGCCCCCCACCCGCGCGACAGGGAGCGGTCCCGCCAACGTAGCATCTCGTTGCCGAGAAGACCGATCAGGCCGGCCATTCATTCGCTCCAGCCTTGATTGTAAAGTACATTGCGTAGCCAACGCGCGCAAGCTCAGTGAGTACACGCTCACTTCCAGCGGTTTCAGGCCAGCCGTTTTTCACGCGCCTGCTTTCGCCATGCTGCAGTTGATTGCAGCGTAGCCGTCTTTCTCGCCACTGACGTTTCCAGCCTTTCATTGTGGTGGGGGTTGGGGTCCAGGTTGGATACGCAGCGTGTGAGGGATGCTCCATACTTGCAGTGCAGCTACCAGGCCAGCCAGCCCCGCTCTAGCCAGCCTACCATCACCGCGCACAGCCCTGCCGTTCAATTGTTATACTATGATTTCGGCGCGCAAGTAGGGAGTGGGCCTGCAGTGCCCGTTCCGTTGTGGATTGTTTACAACATCAGTTGCATCACGTCAGCGTATCCAGCAACGCCACACTCAATCTGACACTTGCCGCCTAATTCGCCGCATGTTCTGCTATGCCACCCTTTATTGCAGCCGCCTGTCTTGTCTCACTCTCAGTTTTATTCACTGGGGACTGGGGTGGTTATCGGTTCATGGGTATTGGATGGGAAGGACATCGAAAGGCCACACCGATAGTTCTGTTGCACAGCCACCCTGTTCTCTGCCGTGGGACACAGGGAACTGTGACGACAACCAGCAGTCGTTCATTGTTTGCTGCTACTGCACGCGTATTCCGCACTCCCTCCTGTCTCTCCCTTGTGCTTCTCATGGTTATGTTACTTCATGGGTTGATGTATTTCTCCGTACTCCCAATGGCATCTTGTTCAGTTCCTTTGCTCCCTCATGGGCAACATCTCTTTTATCGCATCCCTTTTGCTGTGACCTGATCCGCAATGGCAGCTGGCTTAATTCTTGTTCCTTGGCCTAAGTCGGCGTTTTCGAAGTCTCGCACTGACAAGACGCAGCTATCATAGTAGCTAGTGTCAGCTCAACGCAAACAAAAATATGGAGGAGGGTGAGGCGGTTACACATGTGGAATTCGAGGTAGAAGCGAAAGAGCGGGGACTGGAGGGAGGGATGGGGGGGGAGGAGGAGGAGGAGGAGGAGGAGGAGGAGGAGGAGGAGGAGGAGGAGGACGAGCAGGAAGGGGTATGAGGAAAGCGACGGGGAGGAGGGGGATGAGGAGGATGAGTATGAGGAGTATGAGGAAGATGAGGAGGAAGAAGAGGAGGTATGTGGTGGAGAGAGAGAAAGAGGAGGGGCAGGGATCAGGAAAATAAGGCGCATGAGCCAGCGGAGGATGAGGAGAGGAAGATGGAGAGAGACATGCGGTACAGTATGTTCGGCATGACATGCGGGGCCCGTCGTCTTTCTCTTCCTGCTCCTTGCTCCCTCCTCTATGTCCTGCCTCCTCCTTCCCCCTTTCTACTCTCCTTCCTTTTCCCCTCTCCTCCATCCTCCCTCGTTCCCCCTCAGTCCTCAGCCATGCCATGGGGAACATCAGAGCAGGGCACAAGTTGCGCCACGTGAAGTGTAGCGAGTAGGAGAATCGGGCGCGGGAGATCCCAGCTTGGGCACCAAGACAAGCAAGCTACGACGAATCGTGGAATCAGCATGGTGGGACGGACCTGATCTCGGAGCAGAAGGGCGAGCATGCAGGGCCAATGTGAATGTTTTTACTCGAGTCCTGGGGCTCTGGGGTGAAACGACGTGCCGGCTGCATTCCGTGCATATGTTGCGCGCGTGTTTTGCCATGGGAACGTCATGTTTTTGTTGCTCGTCCTCGTCATCATTCACCATTTGGGTTCGCAGTTGTGTTCCGATGCCTGTCAGCAAGCATATCCGGCGAACGCCCCATTCAGGCTTTTCGGCATTCTTTGAACACTCGAATGTTACTCAGTGCTCTCGGTGAGACAGCAGACCTCCCATTTGAACTTCGCTCGCTTCGGATGGGGAAGTAAGTGTTCGGCTGGTTGCGACAAGCTTGTAAAGAATGTGTCCAACTGCATGCGAGCGTGCCGACTGAAGAGTTGCCAGCTCGGCCAGATCCTTCACGGCCATCAAAGTCAGACCGAAAGGGCCATTCAGGAGGCCCGCCATGATATATATGTATATATATATATGTATACACACATATCTGTATGTATATATAGATGTATGTAAATATATATGCATATATAGATATACATATATATATATATGTATATATATATATGCATTGCCCCTGCCACGGGCAACACATCGCCCAGCCGCTACAGACGCTTCTAGAAATCTGAGCGGTTTCGCCTTGCCGCAGGCTCGTTCACTGATGGAATCGCGGCTTGGGGGGCGTCTGGTTGAAGATTTCTCTGCTCTTTCTTGGGGCAAAATCGGGGCGCTCTTGGAGACAGTCTTGGGCCATCCTAGTGAGGGACATTCAGGCGCCGTTTTGGTGCAAATGTGGGTGCGACCTTGCATGGAGCATCCAGAGGGTGCGTTATGAGGCCTCCGTAGGGCTTTGCTGGGCAATGTTGGGCGACGTTGGGGGCATCCTGAGATCTGTGATGGCCTCCTTGGGGCCATATTGGGCAATGATGGGGCCTTCCTAGAGCCTCTGGCGGGAGTCGTCTTGGGACCAGGACCACGTTGTGGCTTCATAAGCTCAGTTCTCAAAAGCGAGAGCTTTTCCGATGCCCGTTGCTCCCAGGACGCATTCGGGACGGCAGTCTCGATCAATATTGAATGTCATCTTGGGCGTCTCGGGATCCGTATTTGGCGATCTCGGAACATGTTGAAACATCTTGTCGCGGACTGCCGAACGGGCGCTCTGTGCCTGTGTGTGTCTGCGCGCTGTGGAAGAGTCGTCAGTCATGGAAGGCAGCCAGGGGCAGAGGAAACAGAGACAGATGTGGGTGAGGTTAGAAATTGCCTGCGAAGGGTTTGACGAAACTTGACAAAGATGGTTAGGCATTGGTACACGTATTGCTCTTGGCCCTGGGTGCGGCTTCGCGTTGATTGATCATGGGCTACTTGCAACAACAGTGAACACTGAATAACCGCTTTGGAGCAAACGCGCGCTCGCGCTCACGCACACGCACACACACATGCATTCTAGCTTAAAGCGATTGCTTTCTATTGTCGACTGGTCCGGCAAAGGGGCCAGCAGGATTGTTGAATCGTAGATGCAAGAGGGGTCTTTGTGGGTCGCCAATGCTGAGTCGAGTTTGTGTCTCTCACATGTGCTGCATTCTTTTTCAAGGAATGCTCAGAAAGATAATTATCGGGTTTGGAGGACGGGTTAGGAAAAAGTGATCGCATCATCTGTATTATCGCGTACGTTGAAGGTATTAATAAGACTGGCATGTGCACGGCCATTGGCCGTCGCATCCTCCTACCCCCTGCAGCGTGAATTTCCTGCCGATTGCGCTGGTACTTCTGCTTGAACTTGGGTTGGTTCTTCGCTTTCATACCGGCGGAAACGACGTTCCAACTCATCGCATTCACGCGTCTCTCCTTCATCGTCAGTTGTTCCTCCTGAAGAACCCTGCTCTGCGCGTCACTGGCTGCGCCTGTACAATTTGGAATTACCTGTGGGGTCCGATCGGCAGCGATGCTGCACTGCCAGTGCCAACGACTCATGCAGAGATCATGGCGCAACCCATGAAGAACGGAAGCAGACCGACGCAGTAGTGATTCCGTATCGCGAGCGGGACGCAATACGGAATTCATTAATAGTTCCGTATCAGGAACGGAACGCAATACGGAATTTGCTGCGGTCCCGCGACCTCCCGAAACTTGTATGAGCACGAGGAACAATTCATTCATGAATTCCGATCGCAATTTGGAACCCGAAATGGAGTTCATTATTCACTGGGCAATTGCCAGAGTCCCGCGGCATTCCTCATGCCCTTGGTCCATCTCCAGTGTTCGCCGCGTCGCTTCAACACCTGAGATGGTGCAAGATAGCTCTGAGAGGGCCCAGAACACACACAAGAGGGCTCTTGGACGGCCCCACCAAAGGCCTCGGTAGGGCTCCAAGAGGGCCCCGAGAGGGCCACGAAATAGGCTGCAGGGTGCAAACGGCGTCTTGGGAAGTTCCCAGGGGTCCAAGATGGGCCCGAGAGGGCCACGAGTTAGGCTGCAGGTTGCCTACCCGCTTTTTAGGAAGCTTGCGCGATGTTGGGTTGACGGCCCATGCGCTGTGGTGACAACACGTTTCCCCTTCGCTAGACGCAGACGGCCGAGGGTATCGTTCATTGCATGTGGGTGCTTTCGCGCATACCCTGCATTCATTCAACCCCTTCTTCCCCACACGATAATTGTGTTTCTCACATGCGCATTCGTCCCCCTCCCTCTTCCCTCCCCCTGGCATGTTCTGCATTCCTCCCCTGGCGGGTTTGCCGGACCCTTCGCCCGTCGAAGTGTTGTTGCTGATTCGTGTGATCATTGTGCAGGGCTTGTGTGCACTATCATCCTCTACACACTCTCTCTCTTTCTCTTTCTTTCTTTTTCCCCCCCCTCTCTCTCTCTCTCTCTCTTCGCGCTTTGCACGAGCACTCACCTTTGCTTTCCACGTGTCGCTCGCCTCTCCTCCTATCTCCCCTGCTGTCTGGAGCAGCTTGTGGTGCGAGAAGGTCCCCTCTGAAGCGCGCTGGGATCGCTGACAACCCAGCGATGATGGGCAAGCTTCTGGCGAGCCCGCGCGCTGCCCTGAGCCGCTTCCCCCGAGCCTTTCGCAGCCTGGCTCTGCAGCTGTGCCTCAGCCCCTCCCTCCTCCCTTCCTGCTTCCCCGTCCCTCTTCCAAACGCCCCTTCTCCTCCACCTGGCGTCTGGCGTTATCGTTGTTGGCGATTCTCTGGCAATTTCTCCAGGAATGTCTTCGGCAGGCGTACTCTTTATTCGTGGAGCCTCGCACGTCGCTTTGTTAATCTGGATTCTGGCCTATTTCACCGCGGTGCTGTTCGTCACGGCCTTCATGTTCATTACACTTCAGGAGTATGTGCGTCTTTCAGGGTGCTTTTACTGTGCAGCGCAGCGGTCGTGCTCAAAAACAAGTTCTGGTGTTTGGCCTTTGCTTTAGCTTGCCTTCGGCCAGCCCGCATTCAATCGCTTCGCGCACTCCGCCGGCCCATGGTGCATCATCGTTGCCACTTGCCTGCGTGCTCGTTGTGACCGCTGGCCGGTGCCCTTTTTGCAGATGCGCCTGATGTGCGCCCGCATTGGGCCCCGCTGCGGCCGTTCATTCTACAGTGTTGTTGCCGGGACCTGGCCAGCCATGGTCATCTCCACACTGATCCCCAGAACTTCCCTCTGGGGCTGATTGAAGGCGTTGGGGCCTCTTGGGGCCTCTTGGGCACTTCCGGAGGGCTCTCCGGGGCATGCTGGCGGTCTCGGAGGCTCGTCGGGCCTCTTGGGCTGTCTTTTGGTGATCTTGGGCCGTCTTGGGGCCCTCTTGGGTCGTCTTGGGGCCCGCTTGGTGGCCTGTCGGACCACCAGCTGCCACCAACGCGGGCAGGCAGCGGTATGCCTTGCACGTACTGGCTCGTGACTCTGGGGAGGGCCAGTCTCTCTAGGACTCTAGGTCATACACTTAGGGGCGCGAAGATAACCGCGCTTCGCGCATCGCGGTCTGTGCCAGAGCGGCTGCCCTTCTCCAAGGGGGGGGGCAAGAGGGCGCGAAGATAATCGCGCGTCGCACATCGCGGTGCGCGAAGTTAGGTGGCCCAGGCCCTCAATCGGTCAACGAAATCTGTACATATCCACTGCCCTCTGGTCGGGCCCTTCATGGGCGCATGAGCTGCGTATAAGCCCTCCTGGCCAAGCCAGGAGGGCGTGGCGTATACACCCTGCTGGGTTCAGGATGGGCGTGGCCAGGGAGCAGTGGATCTGTATAGATCTCGTCGCCCTGCTCGAGCTCCCTCTCTGCATCAGCACGCGGCGCCCCCTGGGGTACCTCTGGCAGTGTGGAGGCCCCCCGTCCCCCCGCAGTCGCCAGCAGGTGTCGGGCACTGCGTGCCTCAGGGGCAACGATAGGAGGGGATGCAGTCGAAACCGATGGTAAGGATGGGTCACCTTCCGAAGCGTAGCCTTGCATCCATGCCTCTTCGGTCCGTCCTTGACCACCTTCGGTGGCAAGCCCCGCTCGAGAAGCTTCGACGGGGGCGTCCAACGGGCTTGCATCCTTACCGCGCATCCTTACTCTCAGTTTCGACTGCAAGCTCAGGCCGGGGGGAACGCATCGACCCCCAATCGCCCATTGATCGCCAATTGTGGTCTGATAGCCTTACCCCGCCCAAGATCGTGGGGATGTGCTATTGGGGGCATATCGCCGATCTGTTTGCGATGCATCGCCGATTCCAGGTCGATGTTTCCCCCTTGTGCCACTACAGTCCCACCTGTTGTTGCCCCGCAGTGCCGCGGCCCCCCACCCCCACCTGCGCCAGCGCTGCGGCGGGCGGGCGGGGCAGAGCTAAGTTACGCCGCGAGGGGGGGCTTTCCTGGCTGCCTTCTGGCCGTGTTCCCCGCAGCACCAGCGCACCGCCCGCGGTGACCGCCGCCACCTTTGTGCCTCCTTCCTGTTTCCAGCCCTCCATGCTGGAGGCAGGTAGGAGGTAAGGAGGTTGACCCACTTAGCCTGGGCTAGCAACATCATATTTGTTTCCACGTCGCAGGATCCATTCCGAACTATGGCCGACGAGCTGCCAGCACCTATCCTGGCATCAGGTTTCAAATAGAAACCTTCCTCGCTGGAGTACATGTTATGTGGCAACCTCGGCAACGACGACGGGTCCGCAGCTGTGGTCTTGGCAGGCGGCACCACGTTCATACCAAGAACAAGCGTCGCGATTCTAGGAACCATCCTCGACCCAAGGGGTAACATCGATATCAGCTTGCAGCACCGTTTGGGGAAGGGCGAGGCGTGCTTTTGGAAGTGTTCGAAATTGCTGACATGAACCGGCGTTGTCATCTCAGTGCCGCGCACAGTGATTTTAACCATTTGCCTTCGCTGCGCGGATGGAGGGCGGTTCCTTTAAGCCCCCATTGGTTCTCGCCTCGGGGCTGTACGTATTCGCTTCCTGATTTGCAGCGTTTATCCGGATGGAGGAGTGTCTCTTTCCATGATGTAGTTATCGCCCTCGATTTCGCCAAGTTTCAGGATCCGGAGCTTCAACGCACACTGCACCGCACGGATCCATGGCGGCTCTTTTTCGAAAGGGGTTGTCGCTTGAGACTTCCTCGAAGTTCAGGGCGGGGGCGATCCTTTTTTTTCAAAAGGGGGATATCGCAGGACCCCACGTGCAACTGTACGATTGCGTTTTCCTGCTTTCTTCATTACGTGTCAGGAAGATGTAAGGCATTTCCTTTTCAAAGTGGGCCCTTCGCCACACTGGCAGTTCCATCTGCGCCAGTCTTTCAACGGAGGCGCTGCTTGTAGTGAAAAGGAGGACTCGTACTAGGGTTTTGCAGCATCGTTTGTGTATCTTGAGTTTGCTCGGGTCCTCCTCCTCCTCCTCCTCCTCCTCCTTCTCCTCCCTCTCTTTTGGGCCGACATCTACAGCATCAACAAAAACGACGTTTCTTTTGCCCGCTGCGCGATGAAACTGCCTGCCTGTCCCGTCGGCGACGCGGGGCCGCTCCGCCGCTAGCCTCTGAGGAACGTGCCGTCCAGGCGACGTTCGCTCCTCCTCCTCCTCTTCGCCGGTGCCCACGACCCCGCATCGTATTGGTCGCTTCTGCGCCGAGCCCGCGTGCGGGGCCCTCCGCCTGCAAGGCCATCGGGGCTCAGCCAGTCGAGTTCGACATCAGTCACATCAGGCCGACGGGCGGCTTGGGGGGAAGCACGGGTCAGGGCAACGTTGGGCTGGGAGGGGTAGGATCAGGCGGGAGCGCGTCGACACCCAATCGCCTAGTCATCGCCGATGTGGGCCTGACAGCCCCCACCCGCCCAGGAACGTGCGGAGTCGCTATCAGGGGCTGGCCGCTGATTTATGGGCGATGTGTCGCCGGTTTCAGGTCGACGTCTCTTTTCTTTGGCTGGTCCCCCCCCCGAGCGTTGCCTTCTGGGGATGCCGAGGTGTATGTTTGACGCTTCGCGTGTCCCCGCCAGCCCATCCCAAAATTGCACCCGTGCGGCAGAGAATTGTTTTAACACAGCTCACGATTGGGGGCCTCGATGGGCCACCGAGGTCGGGGGCATGGGCCCCTCGCGGGGCGTGGGAAATAACATATAGAGCCCTTTGCGTTATGATGTCCCGCTTTTTTTTAAGCCTTGACCGCCAGAAGGAATTGCAAGCGCCAGGCAAGTACCGAAATTGGACGAATTTCACGCGTCGGGCCCTGGGAGGCAATAGTCGTTCGACACTTCGCCAGCGCGTCGGACAGACACTGTTTCGATACTCTTAAGGGTGTTCGGAAGTATCCGTAAGGGCTTCGCCCCGTGCCGCCGGCCCCCTCTCCATTAGAATGTGATATATCAGAGTCGCGTCGGTGCGTCTCGACGCTGCCTGGGCGCATGCGGGGACATCATGCGGGAGCGGATACGAATCATCAGCGCATATTGAGACGTTGGCGTCATCCTAGTTGCTATCGGCCCATCCCGCCACCGTGCCTGGGATGTGGGTCTAAGGCGTATATGTTGGGGTGTCCTGGGGAGCCTTTCGGGGGCTCCTTGGAGGCGGTTTGGGCGCCTGTTGAGGGCCTCTTGGGGCCTCGTGGGGTATCTTTTTGGCCTCTTGGAGGCCTCTTGGGCGCCTCTTGGGGCCTCTTGGGGCCTATTGGCACCCATTGGCGGCCTCTAGGGGCCTCTTAGGGGCTTCTCAGGGCACAATTATAGAATTTTCGGTTCGTGGTCCCCTGCTTGGGCCCCTCTTGGGGCCGTCTTGGAGCCCGCTTGGGCCGTCTTGGGTGTTTTTTGGGCCATCTTGCAGCCCTCTTGGGCAGTCTTGGGGCCCTGTTGGAGGCCTCGTGTGCTGTTTTGGGGCGGTCTTGGGAGCTTCTCGAGCCGTCTTGGAGCGTTGGAAAGCCGAAAGTGCGAGAAGGCCAATTCCTTCAAACACTTTCGTCAAATCAACAATTGTGGCTTC